CGTCAAGTTATGCACAGACACGCGTGTGGTGCATGCGCGACAAAGCTGTCCATGTATTAGGCCGGCGCTTGCCACCATCTATTCGGAAACGTGAATCTGGAGCAAATTCGTTCATACCACGGTGGTCTTTGGACACGTTTGTTTCAGCCGTCCACGTACGTTTGAAACGATTGAAAGGCAGCGGAGAGTAGACATCCTTTTTGTCAAGAAGAAAATCTCTCCAATCTCAATCGGCTACTGAAAACTACTTAGAAAAGGTGGGCACAGGTCTCGCAGGAACAGACAACACTAGTGCCTTCTGAAAATGACAATACTGAGATGGACACTCAAGACTGTCAGACGGCTACTACAAGAGAAGGAGACCAGAGGTACGTAAATGACTCCGTTTGAAACGGTTTAAATTTTAGAAGCTCTCACAATAAAGTAACTTTTTTTTTATAAGTTACCTTTTTGAATGAAGAAGTAAAAGCCGTCAAGCTATGCCTAGTTATACAACGATGGGCTATACTACAAGCAAACACTACGTCAAATATGATTTCTAGGGGCGGCTACAGTGCATTTGTAGGGGTGGTTCGGTCAGCCGCCCCTACCATACCGTCTCTACAAATTATGCATTTGTAAGGACAGTTCCCAGACCGCCCCTACAAATCGATTTATAGGGGCGGTTGATATTGTAGCCGCCCCTACAAATCGATTTATAGGGGCGGTCTGGGAACACCAGCCGCCCCTATAAATTTATAGGGGCGGCTACAGTACCAACCGCTCCTATAAATCATTTTTCCGCCAAAAAAAATTAAATTTACAATTCACGTTGTTCGGGATCCACTCCACGAAGTAGGACGAGTTCTTGTTCTGCACAAATCAAACGGAACTTGGGCAAAACTGGACAATAAGGTTTCAGATTGTGGACATACCATGCCAGGTAGTTTCACGCTGATTTAACAAAATGTAACAAAGTTCATATAAGAAATGCAAGAAATGTATGGTTTTTTCTTTCCCTATATTCATACAAGTATGGTTGGCTAGCTGAGAAGATGAAATATCATTCAAAGGGGATATTGTTTCATATTACACAGTTTAAATAGCTGCACAGAAGAAAAAAAATGACTTCTGCAAAGATGCAGCATTGGATTACTTTATTGGCAGGAAAAATGATGCAGAAAATACCTACCATTAATTTGTGAATAAAAAAGTGAACGGCAGTCTTTGTAGCGCTCATGTCCGGAAACATCCCAAAGCTCAACAAAGAAGCTCCTGTCAGCATCACCCTTGATGCTATTAGATGAACTCCCTGGACTACTGTAAGTAATATGTAATATGCTGCAGAATGGGAATTAATGCTTGTGTGAGAATATATTTTTAAAATTAAAACAAAAGTCCAAGAAATGGTTGTCATTCAAGTGGTGTGGAGTTAGAATTTCACTTCATACCGATGTGGTGGGGAGCTACTCAAATGACTCATTACTAATGAATTTCTCAAATTCATTAGAAAGTCACTCTGGCATCGCTGATAAATCAGGTTGTCGAATTCATTGACAGGTTAATAGCTTTCTAAAAGCAGGAGTAGCTAAATTTCACACATTCTGATTTGAGGCCTTATAGACTACAGATGATCCAAGCTGTTCTAAAAAAGATATTTTTGGAAAAACAACTAAGTAACACCTCAGTTCTGCAGCTACTCTTATTCCAGTTTTCTCTGTGCAAGAGTTCATTTTACCAGGTCTGACTAACACTGTAACCTATATGCAGAGTTCACTTATGCAGCCAGTGGATCAGATCATATATTATAGCTATCTTCTTTTGAGACGCTAGATGTCAACAAGGAATAAAGAACACATATTGTTCTAACAAATGCACCGTTGCTACATCCTATAGTAGTGTAGAAGCATGGCATACCTTGATATTAATCCTGTCGATGTTGTCTTCTCCTGCGCAGCCCCATGTCATAGTCCTCTCCATCATTCAGACGTGTACAACATTAAAGTAATTAGCTAATTTGGATGTATAGTTAAAGTACAGTAAATTGAAAGGAAAAACAATTCATGTTAGTGGACACAACTAAATAAGGCTCAGGCACAGTAGCAGTGAAAGTGAGCACTTAAAAGTTAGAACTAGTAATTAAGAGTGAGCATTGAGCACTAAGCAAAACAGTTATAAATAAATTAGCATTCATGCACAATACTCAAAGCAGCAGCACTGAAGTTGTCATATAAAATACAAAGCAAAGGTAGTGTTGGTGCAAAATCCATGGACCCCAGCTCCACATTCACAGATCTAGCATGTCACACGGATCAAGAAAATGCAGCCAGTGGCAGCACAAAAATGAACATCTAAATTGGAGAAAGCATCAGAAAGTAATATTAAGCTTGGCTCCAATTCAAGCTGATATGATCACAACGTATTGGATAACATTGAATCGCAAAATGCTACTACTAAATCAACTATCTCCGAACAACTATCCTGAAATTACTTAGTTCTATGTGACTCATAATTAGCATCCTATGAATAAGCATTGAACCCTGTGTAGCCCATCTAGGAAAAACAACTACAAGCCTGTGTGAATTACAAACAAAGCAACAATGTATTAGAAACAAGAAATAATATCTAGGAAAAACAACTACAAGCCTGTGTGAATTACAAGCAAAGCAACAATGTTTTAAAGCCAAATATGACTCCTACTGTTGAGCCGCCAAATTTCACCCACATTTTCAGAGCAGAAAATTTTGACATGCCACAACTATAAATCAATGATCAGAGATTCAGAGTCACTTAAATTTACTCTAACTTGTCATGCTAAGTACATTGACTAGAGACATTTGAATATTCTATTGTCTAGTAAAACTACAATATCAGAGTAGGCATGTAACATTAAGTACTTAAAACTTAAAGGCAACAACAAGAGCTAATTACAAGAAATGAGGAAAAATTATTTTATACCTGCACGGGAGCATGCTTGTACATGATAGATATGGTTGTAGAACTCCAGCTCCAAATATTCTCAGAAACCTAAGATATCAGGAGCACATGATACTCTGTTAAATCATTGAGTTGTTCTATGACAGGATATTAGTTTCATAGAAACATACTGGAAAAATTGACCTAATTTTCATTTTTTATGCAGAATAAAGTAGACAGCAGCAAGAATATCAACACGACCATATTCCATTCTAAACCAAAACATCGATCTCATCATTTTTATGCAACTGTGAACATAGATCCTTTGAAGGAATGAAAAGAGAGAGCAGATCTGAGAGGGAGATTGAGAGAGGGTAAGAGAGAGGGCACCTTGCGCAGGTTGGGACTTGAATATCCATAGTACCACTAGAGATTTGAACAATAGATTATGTGAGAATCACATAAACCTGCCTATGTTGTAGCGCCATTGGACTAGAGCTCACCCGGGGGGTTGGGTTGCTGGGGATTGCAGCCTCGTCGGTCACTCTTCGTGGAGGAGTCCTGTCGTCGTGGCCACCACACCAGGTTCCCAGCGACGAAGTAACAAGTCCTCTGCTAATTGAAGGAGAGAGACTGAGTAGATATGAGAGGAAGAAGTTGGCAGAGAGAGAGAGAGAGAGAGATTGACTTCTCACCATGGCTGCTGCAGCGCCGAAGGCTGGAGCACCGTTGCTGCGCCTTCGTCTTCATCCCGGCACCACGACCACTCATATCTAGCGAGCGGGGTCGGCGGTGGCTGCTACGCGTGGGTCTGGACTCAGGAGGACGTGGCGGTGGCTGCGGCGCGCGGGTCGCGAGGACGCGACGGCGGCGGATGCGGGTGGGGGTGAGGTGGCGGCAGCGGCGGCGGATGCGCCCGCTTGGGTGGGTCGCTGCCCTTATCCGGGTCGCGGGCGGCGGGGAGACGACTGGTTGGGGGACGGCGTGAGAGGATAAGGATGGGAAAATTTTCCCCTCTGTGCGCCATTGCGCGCTCTCTTTTCACGCTGCTGTCTCTGATATGTGGGTCACGGCCAGCGATTGGAGCGCGCGCTCGGCTGGCTTTTGCGGGAAAAAACTGGTTTCGGGCAGTGGCAGGGCATTTGTAGGGGCGGCTCAATCACCGGTCGTCCCTATAAATATCAACTCCGGGGGTGGCTAGTGAGTGAGCCGCCCCTACAAATCAGATCCATTTGTAGGGGCGGCTCGTATCATCAGCTGCCTCTGCTGTTTTATTTGTAGGGGTAGCTGGTCTCGTGGATTCCGAGCACGCCACTGTAGGGGCGGCTCCATCGCCAACCGTTCCTAAAAAAATTTATTCCGTTGCTAAAAAAACGTTTTTCACGTAGTGAAAAGGGTCTTCGGAGATTAATCAGTGTCATGCTGCATGTTGCATCTGATTGCATGATCACACTCTGAATGTTACCATGGAAAACTAACCGATGGAGTATATTAATTCACCTCTGAAAATTAAATTGCATGGAGGATTAGAGCCTACCGGTGGTGTAGCCACAGATTTTTTTGAGACACCTGTTCTCTGGGATGCAAACATGCATTCCTAGCTAGAGAGGACAATGCTATTGGTAGTATAGTACAGGCTTGATGTTAGCAAATAAGGGTTGTCAAATGATCAATTTTCGGAATTGTGCAGGACGGAGAAGCACTGCAAAACGTGCATACGGTAAAATCACGCATCACTCATGAATTGGAAAGCCAGATTGTTGAACAGAACAGGCATCAGATCGAGAGTGATGGAAGGATGCATTGACTGAATCTCTGATCAAGGTACATCCTTGTGTTAATCTACCAATCCTCGTCTAAATATAATTCAACTGGCATCATGGTACATATCAGAATCATGGTATTACAGATACAACGGCCGTATATACAATCGGCATCAAGCACTTGAAACTAGCTACTCTACCACTGTACGTCTCTGTATCCTTGCAGATCGTCGCCTTGTTTTCTTGGAGTTCACAAGTCTGCTCACGCTCACAGTCGGTGCAGGGCAGGTTGCCTGTGCGGACACCGGACACAGGTGCATGCTCTCTGCTCTGCTCCATACACTAACCCCGACCCCGCGCCGACCACGTCCTGCGCAGCAGGGACGGCCGCCGCGCCGACCCGGACCCCGACCCCGACCCCGCGCCGGCGGCGAACATCTCGTCGAGGGCGATGACGAGCGCCATGGCGAGCGGGGAGCCGAGGCGTGGTCCCGCCACGAGGCGGAACACGTCGTCCCCGACACGCTCCTTCCGGCGCACCTCGGCCACGGCGTCCCCGCGCGCGTCCCGCACCGCGCAGGCCCGCGCCCCGTACGACCCCTCCACCACGTACGCCTCGCCGGCCTGCGCCTTCAGCGGCGTCACGTACGCCAGCGGCGCCTTGCCGGAGGATGCCCCAAGGAGGCCGAGACCGATGCCGAGGCGGGCACGGCGCATGGACATGAAAGGCTTGGCCTTGTTGGGCCGACGGCATCCCGCTCCCGCCGCGGCGTCGCCGTCGAAGATGAGCCAGCGGTCCGGCGCCAGGCCCAGGCTCGTGAGCCGGCTGCGGCGGCGCACGGTGAGGAGCGGCGTGCCGGCCACGTCCATCAGCACCACCTCGGCCGCGCGCCGCCGCAGCCCCCGGCGTGCGGAGTCGTAGCAGTCGACGCGGAAGGCGAGAGCGCCCGACGCGTCGTAGACGGTGAAGCCGGAGCAGCTCAGGAGTAGCGACTTGCGCGGTTGCGCCACACCGTCAGCACCGGCGGCCGCTCCTGGTCCTGTTGTTGGTGGCCGCCCGCATCGGCCCCGCGGCTGGTGTTGGTGGTGGTCATCGTCGCTGCTGCTGCTGCTGCGGCGGCGGCGGGGGCGGCTCCGGCGCGATGGCGTTGGGGCGTGCCCTGGCCATTGTGTTGGTACTGCTCGTCTGCTCTGTTCCCCTTTTTCAGACGAGACGGTTTTTGTTTGTTTCTCCTCTGTTGGTTGCGTCTGTCTGGAGTTTCGGGAGGTAGCTGGAGGAGAGAGCGAGCATGGGGCGGATTGGATTGGATGGAGCAGAGGGGGAAGGGATTTGTAGCTAGTGGGGGATAGAGTTTGGCCAAATGGCATGGGAAGTTGGAGGCGAAGACGAGAAAGGTGGGGTGGTGATGGTGACTGACCCGCGTAGTTGTGTGCTGCCCAGGTGCCCCCCAATCCCATGCAGGAGAATTGAAGTGAACGGCGAAAGCACTGTGGTATTTACAGTAGTACTGCAGTAATACAGTAACTACCACAGCCTGTCAGCCTAACCGTGACAGCGAAGGATGTTGATTTTTTAGAAAGTATTTGGAGATGAATCACACATATGGAAGGAGGCGCTGTTTCTTTTGACTTTGAACAGCGAAGGATGTTGATTTTTTAATAGATCTTGGAGATAAATAATCTGGCAAAATAATTTTGCCTAAGCATGCTATCGAGCTCAGACTATAAAAAGTGATCAAATTTGATTATCAGCTGTGTTCATGCAGTTAGCCATAATATCTTGTAACCGCGCTTTGTTTCTCTCAATGCATTTAAGGGCACAAATTATCTATATGGACGGCAACCAAGAAAATAAGATGACAGTCTTGTAACCGCGCTTTGTTTCTCTCAATGCATTTAAGGGCACAAATTATCTATATGGACGGCAACCAAGAAAATAAGATGACAGGGATGGAAATCTATATAATTTTGGATGGGAATTAGTACAGGTTTGAGTGGCATTCTCTGTGGTTTGAATGGACTGTACACTTCCAGTACTCACACAGTCACACTGTTGTGTTCCTGTAACATAGTCTAGTCTAGAAATGGTCGGCAGAATAGTGAGTGGCCCGCCTGGCTGTGGACTGTGGTTGCCTCGAGAGCATGCAGCAAAGGTCAACAAAGAGCATCGCACGCGTCCTGCTTCTACAGTCCCGTGTAAAGCCTTTGCTACCGTCACGCACCCAAAATGTTATCTGCCGCATGCGACTCCTTTTTGTTTGCCGCCATACTATCATTCCCCTGTGGCTTTTAATTCGGTCAAGAAGAACATGGATGGCTGCTTTCACCTTTCTCTCGAGTCGAGTCTCGGATTTCTGCTGACGCGTGTATGGAGCCATGGAAATGCCGGAACGCACTTGGATTCTGATCTCTGACTGATGAGTAGCCGTCCTTCCTTTTCCTTGCTTACCATCATCGTAGGAGCTAGTGGAGTTCCCCTTCAATAATGACCTGTCGATCAACAAACAACCATGCATGGGGAAAGGCCTATCTGGATATATCTGCTGCACTATTATATAGTCTATCTCATAAAACAAAATATCATCATCCATTCATGTTTGAACCGTTTCCACTTTCCACTCCATTATTGGTCCGTACAATTGTAGTGTTTTTAAGAGATGTTCTAGTATATGTTTAATTTGCTGCTAAAAGGTGTATTATGATATACAGGGCGTGCTATTTGTATCTCAAGTGAAATAAGTAGAAAGTCAGCTCAGGTGGTCGGGTTTCTTGCCACTTTAGGTTTGAGTCCTCGAGTTGACGTGGATGTCCGTATTTTTATATATTTTTTTCCAAAATTTAATGGCCTATTTATTTGAGAACTTAACAGTATTGTTTCTTGGTAGACAATATACCCATCGATAATGTCTACGTCTGTACTATAATCGCAAAATGTGGAATAATAAGCATACAAGTCCCCAAAATTGCAACAGATTAACATTATCACAGTATTTAAAAGACTGGTGAGGATCGTCTGAGATCAGTTTGATTTGGTTTCATTGTTTGTGCTTCCAAATTTGCACAGTTCTCTTGAGGCATATATATAAAATCTGGTTGATGATGGTGCTCTCTGCATTTTCATTTCTTGGCGGATATCTAACAACCAAAGACATGGGCATGCATAGATCAGGGTACGAATTGCACGTAAGAAGAGAAAGGATGTTGTACACTTCCTCTATCTTGCTCTGATCCTTGCTTGTGTTTTATGCATGCTCCATGATTAACTGGTGGACCCCTCAAATTATAGCGCTACTTCCTTCTGGATATGGATGCGCATGCCGATCTTATCCAGCACTAGAAATACATATTTGAGCAATATAAGCCAATAAGGATTCAATTTGGCATAGAAATGCCCCTGCTAGCTCAGGGTATGTGTACAACCTAGCTGCTACCTACATCTGTCTGTTGTTTTTGTTTACTGTTTCGTTTACATGCGCCATGATTTTTGTTATGCTATTCTATGATAATTAATTGATTGGATGGGGATCAATCACTTTATCATGAGTTTTTTATGCTATTTTATGATAATTAATTGATTGGATGGGGATCAGTTAGTCACTTTAACAATTAAGTGCATCTGTTCACAACCAAATTAAAGTTTGCTAATATCAAGTCTCAACATGTATGTATCCCAACTTGCATGATCTAGCTAGTTCCAAATTGGTCCTAGTTGTTTTGGGTAGATAGCCAAGATGCGGCACTACAACAATTTGGAATAGAGATCACTACTACAGCAAGCTAATTTAGAGGCGGCGACTACTGATAGTTTGTAGTTCCAGCTGTCTCTACTTATCCGTTCCTAAAAGCAACAATTTCTAGAGATGGCTCGAATTTGGCCCGCCTCATTTTTTTTTGTAAAATGTACAGATTGGCCCACCAATCAACTCCATAAACCTGCCAGTCTTTCGCACGAAGTGCACACGTGTGCGGCCGTGAGAGACCGAGATGAGAACTCGGGACAACTTTGGGTAGCCGAATAACGTGCAGTTTGCATGTGTAATGGGACTAGAATGAGAACTCATGACAAGTTTAGTGAGCTGAACCCGTAATTTTAGAAATACCGAAACCTGAATCACCCACACATGCATGCATATACATGCTGCGTGCTTTGTCCGTTGCTTGGCACGGTCATGGTCACGGTCACGGCACCAAGCAATTTTCTCGGTCCTTTGCATTTTATTTTCTCACTTTCTTTTTTCTCTTTTATTTTTTATTTTCCATCTTTTTTTTTCATATTATCCTACCCATTTTTTAAATATACTATGAACAATTTTTTTTAGATTGAGAAATTTATTCAGAAGAAGTTATGTAGGCAAATTGTGCTGAATATAAGTTGTGTATGATTTTTTGAAAGAGTTGAACAACAAAAACTTGTGTGCATGAATTATTCGTAAATTTATTGTGTAAAGCCGCCGTGCTATAAAAGTTAAGTTGAGAATCTGTTTTTTGTTCGTCGATAGTTATTATTATATATATGAATAAAAGTTTAGTTTTAAAGAGTACGTACAAAACCTATTATGATAAATTATCTATCTACTAGCAAACAAGCCCGTGCGTTGCAGCGGGAGAAAAAAACTATCAAATATAATGAAAAATAACGACAAAAATAGCAAGTGTTTATTTATGTTTTACATATTATATAAAATTAAAATCTATAATTTAGGCTATTTATGAGGACTATGACATTCATAATATTAGTTAATGTTGGCAATGATACGATAATATCCTATTAACCGTATATTGAACTAAAATAAAACCATTTTATTTGTTTTCTCTTGTTGCAAAGAACAAAAATATTGAGGTAAATATATCAAACTCTACTTTTCATACTCTCCATGTGCTGGTACAACTAAATATTGAGTTTCCAGACTAACTACTGAGGACCAAAAGAATCTGTAACGGTCAGGCTAGCGCCCGAACGTCCAGTCCTAGGCCCGCGTCCAGACACAGCTCCCCACGCCTGCTCCGTGCCGCACGCCCCACCTACTCGGATTCCGCGCCGCTCGAACGACTCGCCCCCCCCCCCCCACGCCGCCCGAACATCACCAGCATCGAGAAGAGGAGGAGACACCTAGGCGACGCAGCAGAAAGGCGAGGAGGGAGATGCAACACCCGATCTACTTTTGAAACATCTATATAAAACATTTGCAACATAAGTTTAAAACAATTGAGACACTTGCAACATAAGTCTGAAACACTTGTAAAACACTTGAAAACACTTGAAAAAACCATTGCAAAATATATGCAACATCCAGATAAAACACATATAACATATGTGTGACACACATGCAACATCCAGGTAAACACACTTGCAAACATACACCTGACAAAACAGATGAAACATTTAGAATAGACACTTGCAACATACATGTATAGCCATTGCAACATATGCAACATCTCAATCTTGTTTTTGCAACATCCATATATGAAACACTTCCAACATACCTCTGAAACACTTGAAACATACACTTGTAACATGTACTTTTAAGCGCATGTCGCTGCTTGGACGAATGGATGCTTGTTGACACGTTGCTCAACGCCAGCTCGGAGCTCGATGCCGCGGAGTCACGCGGGGGATGTCGGTGGGCGCGCAGCTGGGCGTGGCCCTGAAGAGCGGCGGCACCGCTCCCGGTGACAAGACGAGTGGGCGCGCTCCCCACGGCGAGGCACCACCGCGGTGTGTTGGAGAAGGGGAGGCGGCGGGCGTGCGACCTCGGGAGCCTGCTGCTAATCCTGCTTCTTCTCCGTCGGCAGCGGGGAAGGAGGGATGGCGAGAGCAGGAGGCGGCGACGGCGCGGAACCGAGGCGTAGGAGGGAGAGGAGCAGGAGCAAGGAGGAGAGCGAGGCCGAGGAGAGCACGAGCAGCAGCACCGGGATGGGGAATTGATATCCTGTTTTTTTAGATAGAGAAGCCTTGAGGGGAGCATTAGGGGAGCACGCATATTGGGCGGAAGGGGCACGGATGATGCTGATGGGAGTGGGGAATCTGTGTCCGTCCATCCAGACACCCTAAGGAGAGCATTATCGACTCTATAATTCTAGTATCTGATTAAAATAGGTAAGAAGTTAGCTGCCGACGTTTCAAGAATTAGTCCCTGTCCAGAAAATTGTGATGGGAAATCTCTCTCGATTTTACACATGCCAACCCTTTCTAGATGTAATTATGAAGATACATATTTGGATGGGGATAAAAACAGAAAACGAAAATGCACGGACAGAAAGAAGGGAAAAAAGAAGAACAAAAGGGGACGGACAGAACTAAAAAAAACAAAGAAGAAAAAACAGAAAGCAGAAACTCACGCCACGGGAAAAAGGGAGAAAAATAGAAACTGGAATTCCATACGGGAAAGGGAGAAAAATAGAAGCTGGAATTTCGTACAGGAAGAGGGGAGGTGACCGAAAAAAAGGAATTAAAGAAA